CTCCGGCGCTCCGGCGCGTGGTCGGGCGCTGGGCCGCGGGGCCTCCTCGGGGTCCACGGAGTCCGGCCTGTGCGCTGACCAGGAGGGGGTCCGGAGGACCCCTCCCCAGGCCCCTGTGACTACTGACCGCCCGCACACTCCCAGCGACCCGCCCCCGGGCCCACCGACGCCCGTCCTTCTCGCCGGCCTGGGGCGCCCCCTCGGCGACTCGGATGGAAGGTGGAGCCCCGGCTGGGCCGCGCGCCCGTAGGGCTCCTTCCCTTGAGCCGGGGACTCCCTCTGCCCCGCCCCTTCGCACCGGTAACGTGCGAACACGCGACCCCGTTCCATGGGCTCCCCAAATCTGCTCCGACTGCCAAGATCTTCCTCAACCGACTGGACCCCTCGGAGACGCCGCCTCTGAGCCTGTCGAGACAGGCTAGCCACAACCGACTCGTTCGTTTACTTGCAGACACCGCGGTATGGCAAGGACTGGACTGACCGTTGTATCCCCCAACGCATAGGAGGAGCTGCCTCCTCAGGGTAGACACAGATGGTGTGAAGGTTTCAGGACTGCCATTCGCAGATGGGGCTTGGCTGGAAATGAGAAGAAACAGCTGCAAACACCCGTTGCTTGCCTTGGGCAAGACTGCTGCAGGAGACCTCTGAAGTGTTAGGGAGCCAAGAAGCCAGTGGAGGACTGAGGTGCTCTTGCTGGGAGCCATGGTGTTTTCAAGGACTTCCTATGCATGCAGAAGGGGGGCAAGGAGTAAGAAAGTCCGTCGAAGCATCAACGGCGGTGGTGAAGAATATTGAAAGCCCCATGGACTGCTAGAAGAACAAAACAAATCTGTCTTGGAAGAATGACAGCCAGAATGCTCCCTAGAAATGAGGCCGGTGGCACTCTACCTCATGTAAATACATTGGGAATGTTTTCAGGCTGGGCCAGCTTTTAGAGAAGTAGAGAGCCAGCTTGGGGAAGTAGAGGGTCAGCAAAACATTGAAAGACCTCCCAACGAGGTGGACTGACCCTGTGGCCAAACCCTGCCTGGACCTGCATCCTCCTTCCAATCGTGTTTGAGCGCACGGCTGCAGCTAGTGTGTGAATCATCTCATTGAAAGGGCTTCCCCATCAAATCGAAAGTCTGGGCTGTGGGGTCCTACTGGGTGATATAATTTGCTTTTGAGCCTAAGGCATGGTGGAGGATGTCAAGTATCTTCTGTGAATCCTTTCGCAATCCTTCTCTGTGAGAGCTCTTTATGCCCTCTCCCTCCCCATGGCTCCCAGCCCATTGAGGGTAAAAGCCACACCGCATGGTTTGGATCCAATTACCTCCCTACCTTTATCTCACCTCCTCCCTCACTGACCATTTTGCTATTCTCCAAGATATCCAGCACCTTCTTGCCTTAGGGCCTTTGCACTGGCCATTTCCTCTACCCAGGATGCCTTTCCCCAGGGATCCTCACCTCCTTCAGGCTTTTTTATTCACGTGGTGAGGTCAGACCTTCCCCAGGCAACTCTCCGTAGTAGAGTCTGACTCTGCTTCGCAGCCTGCCCTTTTCCCTGCTTAAGTCTTCCCTTCGGTGCCTGCCACCTTTATACCACAAGGCTTTAAAAAGTTCTTGGCAAAATGCCATTATCTCTTCATTCTATTGTTCCATGCACTTTGTGACGTACCCTCCTTGTGTGTCCCCTGCCAGAAGCCAGCACCACGAGAGCAAGGGAGTTTGACCCGTTTCATTCCTCGCTGTGTCGCCAGCACACAGGACGCCAGACCCAACCCAGGGAGGCTATTCTGACTCACAGCAATCCTATATAGGGTGTCTGAGACTCTACATCTTTAAGGGAGCAGCCAGCCTCCTGTGTGTCTCCTACAGGGCGGCTTGTGGGCTTGAACCACAGACCTGGCATTAGCAGCCCAATGCTAACCCACAGCACCACCAAGGCTCCTTCGAAAAGCACTCACTCAAAAAACTCAAGCAAGTCCATTCCAGCGCCTGGAGACCCTGTGGGACAGTAGAACTGCCCCTGTGGGTTTCTAAGGCGGTCAGCTTTTTTTTCCTACTGCTTTATTGGCACATAATCCAAGTATCATACAATTCAATAGTTCAACCATATCAATAAGTACCACAATTTTAGAACTTTTTCTTTCTTATACACCTTGTTATTAGCTCCCCATTTCTCCCCAACCCTGCCATGCACCCAAGAAACCGTCCATCCAGTTACTGCCTCTATAGATTCACCCCCCTGGATTTCATACACTGAAAAACATACAAAGCCGAGAGACCATAACAATAACAAGATGAGACCGTGGAAAACCTCAAACAGAAAGCAAAAAAGATAAAAAGTAAAGCAACTTTAAAATGGGTCAACCCTGTGTGATCATGAGATGTTGACGGCATCAGGTATCAAAAGATTTAAAACGAACAAGAACAAGTATATCGTTGGGAATGAAGGGGGTTGCAGTGGATACCCAAAACTCATCTGTAGACAATTGGATACTCCCTATAGAAGGGTTATAAAGAAGGGCTGAATCAACCAAGGTGAGTATAGCACTGATGAAACACACATCATTCCTTGGTTCCTGAATGCTTCCACCCTCCGCCCCCGCACTACCATGACCCAGTTCTACTTTACAAATCTGGCTATATCGGAATACACACATTGGTCCAGATAAGAGCTCTGGACACATGGAATTCAGGACAGATAAACCCCTCAGGAACAGTAGTGGGAGTAGCGATATCATGAGGGGAGGAGGATGGACAGGGAGGGGGAAGGGGGAAAGGGGGAATCCATCATAAGGTTGGATATATAGTTCCCCCAAGGGGATGAATAACAAAAATATGGATGAAAGGAGACAATGGACAGTGTAAGATACAAAATAATATGTAATTAATCAAGGATGGGAGGGTGGAGGAGGGAGGAAAAAAAGAGGAGCTTATACCAAGGGCTCAAGTAGAAAATGTATTGGAAATGATGGCAACCTATGTACAAATTCGCTTGATACCAATGATGTATGGATAAGAGCTGTAAGAGCCTCCAATAAAATGATTTTTTTAAATTAAAAATAAAGTGGTTAAAAGGGAGATCAAATGATAAAGTGTTACATTTTCCCCTACCTATATCTGCTGTAATCCACTGTCCAATGCACAGCCAGGCTGATAGCCAGGCTGTGCACATCCTTGGTCTGTGTTCAGAAGGGATTCGCCAGTGGTCTAATCCACTTATATTTCCCCTTCATTTTTTTGGTTTTAACTGAAAGAAGTTTAAAATGGATCAAAAGGGGCATCAAGTAAGATGTTACATTTTAACCTAACCACACCTACTATAATCTTCTCTACTCTGACAACAAAACTGTTCACACCCTTCGACTATGGTCAGAAGGGATTCACTGGACACCTGATCTATGTACATGGATTTGGGGCTTCCAGCGCCGTAGCCTTCTTCAAACCACGTGTCTACCATTTCAGCTCGGACACCATTCCCTCCGGATTTGGATTACTTGGTTTACAATCCCTGGATCCCACAGCCTGGTGTGCTTCTTCCATGTGGACTTAGTTGACCCCTCATAGTCATGACTCTTGATGGGAGCACAAAGCCTCGTCTTTCTCCTTCGGAGCAGCTGGGGGTTTTGAACGGCTGAACTTGTGATTAGCAACCCAATTCGGAACCCACTATGCCACCAGCGCTCCAATGAGGAAAGCACTCAGTGAATGCTTAATACAAGTTTTCAAAAGGAATTTTCTTTTGGACTCGCTGCCATTGAATTGATGGCTGCTCCTAGTGACCCTATAGGACAGGGAAGAATTGCTCCTTCAGGTTTCTGAGACCGTAACATGTACAGACACAGAAAGTCTTGCCCTTTCTCCCACAGAGCGGCTGGTGGAGTCAAACTGCTGACCCTGTTGTTAGCAACCTAATGCGTAACCACCACGCCACCAAGGCCCCTTTTCTTTCTCTCCTATAGTGAGTACCCATACTGTGTGCTCAGCTCTGTCTGGCCAACACTGAGCCCGAGGGACTGTCGCAGCCCATTTTACAGATGAGAACCACAGAGGCAGAGTCGACCCATCTCAAGCTTTTTTGCTTGCAGCAATGGGGCTGTTTGATACCACCTCCCAGGTGTGACTCACAGCCAGCCTCAGCCCTGCCCGGCTGGGGATTGTCATCGATGCGTCTCATCTATTTTTGCTTCTAAGGGTGAACTGCCACCTAGCACCTGAGTCAGACCCTCGTTGTCGCCAGGTGGTGGGAAGGGAGGCGTGTTTGTCTTGAGACTGAGTCACGGCAGGAAAGGACACCTGAGGTTAGAAAATGAGTCACCTCTTCCCCCTACCAGTGAGAATTCAGAGGCAGGAACACACACCACACACACACACATGCACACACCTGGCACATGATACAGGCTGGGTAGCGGTGAGGCCCAGGCAGGGTGAAGGATTCCTCTCTCTCAGGCCACACCGCCCAAGGATGGCCACGGGGAGTCTGATTCCCCTTAAGGAGAGGGAGGACGTGGGGGAAGCTGTCACACCTTGGTCTCCCAGCCAACTGCTTCTATTCCAGACTGAGGGGTGAGTCAGCCTTTGGGGGAGCAGGTTCTATGCCTGCCTCTCTCAACTTCTACCCCGCCCTGTCTCCTTCCCTTCCCGGGGGGTGGGGGTTTCTGAGTGTGTTGTGGGGAATAGGAGGCCTGCAGGAAACACCATCCCGCTGTTGGGCGGGGAGGTTGTATGAGGGAGCCCAGCGCCAGGGTGCAGGGGCTGAGCGTGATGTGTGCGGGAGAAACGGGTTGGGAGAGGCAGGGGGCTCGGGCCAAGGGAGGAGGCTGGGTGCCAGGAGGTGGGTGTGTAAAGCAGAGAGGAGGTGTGCCAAGTGGGGGGCTGTTCACACGGGGAACGTTTGCCGTGGAGTGTGTGTGTAGAGCAAGCCGGGGGAGCAAATAGGAGGAAAGGGGCGTGCAGGGAGAGGTGTGGAGAGGGATTTCTACAAAAGAGGCGACACGCTGGGCTGCCGCCGGGAGAAAGATGGGGCTGCAGGCTCCCGCAGACTGACCGCCCGGGAGACCCCCAGAGGCAGTCCTGCTCGGTCCTACGGGTCGCGGGGAGTAAGGAGCCGGCTCCGCGCCGATGGGGATTTAAGTGATGGCCACAAAATGAGCGCAGTCGGGACAAGAAGAGTCGCTGCCCGTAGTGGCAGAGGATAAAAGGTCACGTGCGTGCTCACGTGGCGGCCCAACGATTCCCAAACGCCCCCAAAGCCCTCTCCCAGGTCCGGCAACGGCGCTTCGGCTCCGCCCCTTCACGCCGCGGGGCGTGTTTCGTGCCAGTCAGGGAGCCGCTGCTCCGCCATTGGCTAGCTGACCGGAGGGGGCGGGTGTTCGGAGGCTCCCGGAAGTACAAAAGCTCCCACGCGTTGCGGAGCCGGCACTACGGAGCTGTGGGTACTTAGCAACGGGGGGAGGCCACCCACCTCCAAGTAACAGAGTTGGGGGGGACACGGGAGGAATAGTGGGTGCCTAGCGACAGGGAAAGGCGGTTTCTAGCAACGAGAGAGGCTCAGGGAAGTGGAAAGGTAGTCCTGAAGGATCTGAGGGTGTATAGCAACCAGGGGGAAGGACCTTAGCAAAGTGGTTGGGGGTGGGGGGGTGGGGGCTGGTGGAAAGTGGGTTTGAGGAGGTGCACTGGGACAGCTAGGGGTTCCCAGCAAGGTGAATAGGAGTCAGGAGAAACTAGGGGGGATCCGAACGAGGAAGAAGGTCCTGGGTGGGTGGGGGGTAATGAGGGAGGGAATCTTTACAGAAGGTGGGTCCAAGACTTGAGGCCCTGGAAGAGCAGAGGGTCACCCACAACCCCCCCTTCCCCACCGGAATAATAATCCCTCCTCTTTTCCCTCAGGCGATGTGGCTGGAGGTGGGGGGCCTACTGCGGGGGACCTGTGGGCAGCAGGCCCGGGCCATTGGCTTGCCTTGTGGGGCTCTGGGGCCAGGGCCCTACTGGTGGGTAAGAGAGAGGGGAGTCCCTAAGAAAGTTGGGGGGAAGGTATAAGGAGAGGGGAGAGGCCCCAAAGGATCCTGTGTCCTCCAGTTCTTACCAAAGTACATTATCTCCCAGGGGGTTTATGGGCGTTCTCAGGCCCAAAGGGTCCACCAGGATGGGCCTCATAGAGGCCTGAACGAGGAGGACATTCGCCAGGCACGGGAGGCCCGGCCCAGAAAGACACCTCGGCCTCAGGTATCATTGTTCCCCACCTTCCCCCTGGTGACACTCCACGGGGGCTGCTGCACCCTGGACTTGGGGCATGGTGTACCCCCCGCTGCTGCCCTGACTCCCCCTCTTTTCCCAGCTGAGTGACCGCGCTCGAGAACGCACCGTGCCTGCCTCCCGCATCAGCCGCTTGGCCAACTTTGGGGGTAGGTGTGACTGGGGTGGGGGAGAGGAGCCCAGGTGGGCCATCCGGTTACCCATTGGGCTGCTAACTTGCCACTCCTCTGGAGGAAGCTAGGAGGTCTTCTGCTCCGGTCAGGAAATTCACAGGGAGAGCAGTTCTACCGCATCCTATAGGGTGGCTGTGAGTCGAGACCCACTCATTGGCAGTATGGTTTGGGTTTAGTAGGGTGTCAGGACCTAGGAGAACAACAACAAAAAACCCCAAACTAAACCACCACTCAAAACCACTCACTTGACCTTGACTCATAAGGACCTTCTAGGACAGGGTAGAACTGGTTGCTCCCAGATCTAGGAGAGAGGGACTGATATTTACAGAAGCAGGTGATAGAGTGAGGCAGAGGGAGACAGAGAAATGGGGAAAAGAGGCGGAAGGCCGAGTGAGACCCACAAACCTGAGAGAAAGGACGGTACGTGACACAGCATTTACTGGACCGTCAGGACCCTTGCCCATTTTGTTTGGCTGCACTGAATCATGAGCGCTGGTTCCCTTATTAGCAGTGAGGACACAGAGGCCAAGAGAGGCCAGCTCATTTGCCTTGAGGCCATGCAGCTGGATTGTTCACCCTCTGGGCTGCAGCCAGCATTGAAAACGAGAGATGAGTCTGCCTTCGTGGCAGTAATGGAAAATATTGATCACACACACACACCCCTCTCTCTGTCTCGGATGATGCAGATAGCTTGACTGTGGATCATGGTTCCAGTTGTAAAGATACCGATTCTTAAGCCGAAGAGGCAGTAGCGAGCCGGGTGGTTAGAGCTTTGGCACTTGGCTGCTTACAAGGTCTAACTCCACGGTGCCTGCCCCACTTTGTGGCCCTGGGGCAAGTTCAGGGAGCTTCTCCAAGTCTCGCTTTTTGTGAAAACAAAAAAGCATCTGCCACAGACATGCTGAATCCATGCTCATAACTCAGGATCTGAGAACTCACTCATTCGACCCGCTCGCTGCCATTGAGTCGATGCCAACTCATAGCGCCCCCTGTAGGACAGAGGAGAACTGCCCCTGTGGGTTGCCAAGGCTACCAGTCTTTACAGAGTAGAAAGCGTCATCTTCCTCCCTCGGAGCAGCTGGTGGAGTCGAACTGTTGACCTCGCGGTTAGCAGGCCACTAAGCCACCAGGCCCTGGGAACAGTACCTGGCATGTAGCAGGCTCTCCCAAGACTCCCAGCAGCACTCTATTTCCAGAGGTAGTGCCGGTAAAGGAGGCAGAGAGAGCCACAGTGTCCTTACGGATGAGGAGAGAGGAAGTCAGAGCTGGAGGGGGAACAGAAAGGGAGGGTCGGAGGCTGAAGCAGATGGACCTGGTAGAGAGAAGGGCAAGATGGGGAAAGAGCCCCTCCGGCGGGGGTGGGGAATGAGTGTGAAGAGGAGGAGGTGGAGATGGAGAAACCGGAGTCACAGGTAGACAGAGACATGAGGGCATCCTTCTGGGACCACCTTAACCTTGCCTGTACCCTAGAATCACCTAGAAGTCTTAAAAAAAAAAAATCCCCCACACCAAGCTTTAGCTCAGATCAGTCACATCAGATCAGTCATGTCAGCATCTCAGTGGGGGAGCCTGGGCATGGTATTTATAAACGCTTCTCAACCGAGGTACTGTGAGGCTTGGGCCGAGAACTGCTGGCTCGGGACAAAGCTGAGGAGAGAGCTAGAGAAAAGTCAGCCAGCAGGGGCCCCCCACCCCATGGCAATAAGAGACAGAGATGGGGACTGGGGCATGCAGAGAGTGGGGGAAACCAGTGCTGAGAGGAGGCCTGAGGAGGGACAGAGAGGGTAGGGGGTGGGCCCTGCCAGACCATCAGCCAGCCTTCTCTCTCACCCGACCCCCACCCCCAGGACTGGCTGTAGGCTTGGGGCTGGGAGCACTGGCCGAGGTGGCCAAGAAGACCCTACCTGGAAGATACCTCCAGTCAGGTGAGTGAGCCACAGGCTGCTTGGCTTCTGACTCTGCCTTTGCTGTGTGACCTGGGGCAAGGGGCTTCTTTCAGAGATTTGTCTGGAAAATGAAGGTAGATGATAAGGTGCCCACCTCTCAGAACCAGAGCCCAGTGCTAAGCTGCTGTCGTGGTTAGGCTTAATAGCAACGTGTCTCCGGCGAAAAACTTGTAGGCCGCGGACGTGGAGTTTCTCATGTGGAGCAGGTGTGCCGGGGGTGTCTTTAGTCTGGCTGAGGTGGAGCTAGACGTGGGGAGATAGGACTTTGTCAAGGGTCAGAGTCCTCTGAGGCCCATGTCTTCAAACAAAAAAGTGGATAAGGATGAAATGCTCAAGATCCAAGCAATGGATTTGCATTACGATGATGGCGACGAATATTGAAGGTACCACGGCTGGCCGGAAGAACCAACAAATCTGTCCTGGAAGAAGTACAGCCAGAATGCTCCTTAGAGGCAAGGATGGTGAGACTGCGCAGGCACATACTTTGGACATGTGGTCGGGAGAGACCAGCCCCTGGCGAAGGACACTATGCTTGGTAAAGGAGAGGGGCAGCGAAAAAGAGGAAGACCCTCGAGGAGATGGACTGACACCGGGGCTGCGACAGTGGTCTGCAATTGGGAGGGTGGCGCCGGGGCAGCCGGCATTTGGTTCTGTTGTATGTCTGGGTTGCTGTGAGTTGGAACCAACCACACTCTAGATCAGCAGTTCTCAACCTGTGGGTCTCGACCCCTTTAGGGGTTGAATGACCCTTTCACACATTGGCAAAATGACAGTGATGAAGTAGCAACGAAAATATTATGGTTGTGGGGGGGTCACCACCACATGAGGAACTGTATTAAAGGGTCACGGCATTAGGAAGGTTGAGAACCAGTGCTCTAGATTAAAGGGACGTTGACCATCGTGGACCGTGTAAACCGTCACTGGGTCTCCGTTTGGGGAAAAGCAGAGCAAAATCAGACTTGGAGGGGGGACCCTTAGGGAAATGTAAGGGCTGCATCCACCTCCACCCACTGCTGGGCAGGCGGTTCCAGCTCACAGCGCCCCCTGCAGGACCAAGTGGAACCGCCCCACAGGGTTTTCCCAGGCTGTAATCTTCATGGAAATGGACGGCTTTCTCCCATGGACTTGAACCGTTGACCTTGCAGTTAGTCCTATCAGCGCCTAACCCCTCGTGCCACCAGGGGTCCTTAGGACTGGATAGTAGATAATGTGAAGGACTCCAGGCTCATTTTTCTGAGGTCAGCATCATGGGGCTATGATGAGCCAGACAAATGCAATGCCACTGTTGTTAGGAAGAGACTGGGGAAGGTGTCAGGCCTTGACTTCCGGCGTACAATTACATTCAAGTGGCTGAGCTCAATAAGAATTTTAGTAACCGCAGTCACAGCCCCCTCCACCTTCACCCCCGGGAAGCAGAGGGGGCCGCGTGTGGCGTTGCTGGGGAGAGGCCCAGGCCATCGTTCCTGGTTCTGCACAGGCACCTTTGCTGTCTGGCCGGACACTTTCAAAATGACAAGTTGGGTGGTGAGGCGTGAGGCAGACCCAAGTCTGCACCCGGCTCTGCCACGTACATGCTGTGTTACCCAGGGCCATGCACTGCATCTCTCTGAGTCTCTTACATAGTCGCCTGGTAAGTCAAGGCATTAGGCGTTCTAGCTGCAGGAGTGTCCACAGGGAGGAGGCTGCTGCCTGCCACGGGGCGAGCACTCAAGCAAGAGCAACAAACACACCCACTGCCTGTTCGGGCCAATCCCAACTCATAGCGACCAGACAGGACAGGGTCGAACCGCCCCTCTGGGTTCCCAAGGTGATAACTCTTTACCAGGAGCAAAATGTCTTGTTTTTCTCCCTGGGAGTGGCTGGTGGATTCGAACTGCCGACCCTGTGGTCAGTTCTCCCCCGACCTCCAGGGTCAGTGATGTGAAAATGCAGCGAGAGAGGACGGGAATGATTGCTAACGGCCTCCAAGGTCCCTTTTTTCATGGTGGTCGCAACCACCCCGGCTGTCCTAAGAGCCACCCAATGGTAGACCTGTGAATTACATCTCGGTGAAGCTACACCAGAGGACCTCCTGGGCCCCCCACCCCCAAGCGGTGGATGTAGGTTATAGGGGTGGCTGGGCATGTGGGTGATGTTCGCTGGTATTTGCCACAGAAGAGATGAGAGCAGAGGAGGTTACAGCATAAGAACACGCGCGGACGCGTGCGCTCCACAGGCGCTCCACGGGCAACACTGGGAGAGGCCTGGGAACCTCTGGAAAGGTTCATGGCAAACCCAGGGAAGAACGGGAGTGAATGGGGGTGGGGCATCTTACTGTTCTATGAAACTAACTCCATTTTCACAGTCCCTCGGAAGCCTCTCAGAGGTACCCCCAGGGTACCACCCCCCCTACACACACACACTGAAATTCGCAAGCCCAGGAGTTCCCGAGGACCACGGACTGCTGCAAGGACAAGCCGATCCATCCTGGAAGAAGTACGGCCCGAGTGCTCCTTCCAGGCAAGGCAGGCGAGATTTCGTCGTCAGGAGAGACCAGTCCCTGGAGAAGGACCTGGTGGAGAGGAGGGGTAGAGATGCGTGGGCTGCCACCGTGGGTCCGAACCTGAGAACCTTTGAGGGTGGGGTGGGGTGGGGTGGGGCGCGCGCAGGACCGGGCAGTGCTGCCTTCTGCTGTGCCCAGGGTCAACTCGAGAGCACTTAGCGACAACAAAGAAGCGCCAGGAGGGCCCCCCATGTCCCCTCCTGGTCACGCCCGGTTTCTGCCGCCCTCCGGCCTTGGACCACCCTGGTCTCGCTCCTCACAGGAATGGACCCGGGCAGCGGCCCCCTCCGAAGCCAGGCTCCTCGGGCGCCGCGCTTCCTCTGCGACGCGGGCCGGGGTCGTGCGTGGCACCGGGGATGGCGAGCTCGCGCCTCCGTTTCCCACCCGTGACGCGACCTAAAGAACCACCATTCCCCTGTGGTCATCGCTGATGGGATGGCCGTGGAGACGCCCACCTGGGGGCGGGGCTAGAGCCTCCTGGGCCCCGCCCCCCAGCGGGTCTGCCCACGGCACTCTCCAGCTCCTCCCACTCGCCCTACCCACCTGTCGCCTCCGTGGTCTCCACCTTACGCTTGCGGTCCTGGGAGCCCTGGTGTCACGTCGGGCTGCTAACCAGGAGGTCAGCGGTTCAAAGCCACCAGCCACTCCGCAGGAGAAAAATGAGCCTTTCTTGGCCAAACAGAGCACCGTCTTGGAGACCCTTAGGGGCAATTCTAACCTGTCGCTATGAGTCAGCATGGCAGTGAGTTTGGTTTGGCTGAGATCCTAGGAGCCCTCGGACTGTTAACCTGGAGGTCAGTGGTTTGAAACCACTGCCCGGGAGAACGACGACGCCTTCCGTTCCCGTAACAGTTACAGGCTCGGAAACCCACAGACCCTAATACCTATGACGCCCCCCTTGTCCCCCAGAGGGCAGCTCCGGGCCAGACTCCAGCCCGTTCCTGTCGGAAGCCAACGCAGAGCGGATCGTGCAGACCCTGTGCACCGTCCGCGGGGCCGCCCTCAAGATCGGCCAAATGCTCAGCATCCAGGGTACAGCACGACCCCTGACCCCGCTTCTGGATCCGCCTCAACTGCCCTCCCCCCGCCCCCACCCTGGTCCCGCCCCTCACCACGCCTGTCCTCCGCTGTCTCCCAAGATAACAGCTTCATCAGCCCCCAGATACAGCGCGTCTTCGAGCGCGTGCGCCAGAGCGCGGACTTCATGCCGCGCTGGCAGATGATGGTGAGTGCCCAACTCGGCCGCCGCCGCCCTCGTCCCAGCTGTTCGCCGGAAATGACCTCTGTGCCGAGTATTGTGAAGGGCAGGGGGACCTGGTGTGGGGCTAGCAGGCTGGGCTCCAGTCCAAGCCTGTTTCCCCATCTGCGAACTAGGGGCAGTGAGAGCCACTCCCCCCCACCCCCCCGCGGTGGAGTTAAGAACACCGTCTTCAGTGGGCACTGGGAGCAGCCTGGACGCCGCGTGAGCCAGCGGCAGGTTCAGTCCCTGAGCGTTCCAGTGCCTGCCCCTAGGCCCTGGGCGGCCCCTGCCATCCCGGGGTCTGGCGAGTCTGTGTTCTGCTTCCTCTGAACCCGCCCAGCCCCAGGATGTGCTCGGAGCCCTTTTTGCCTGCCTTCAGGGGGCTCCGTGGGTAAGGTCTCCCAGGGCTGCCAATTCACCCCTGCCCCCCTTCCTCCAGATGTCCAAGTGTCATCAAGCCCTGCCACCGGTCTACCACAGATAGTAACAACCTGCTCGGTGCACACTCGAGAGACCCGAGCTGGTCTGGGCCTCTCGGCTGCCTCTGGCTGGTCAGTCACCTGGGCTAGAGGTGACTCTGAGCCTCGGTTTCCTCCTCTGGAGAGTGGGATCGCGGGGAAGAGCTCTCACTAGGCTCCCACGTGGCGAAGGCCCATCATGAGCACTGGGGTCCTGGACACATGCCCCTGCCCGTGACACGGGTGGCCCCCCTCCCCCCTCCAGAGAGTTCTGGAAGAGGAGCTGGGCAGCGACTGGCGGACTAAGGTGGCCTCTTTGGAGGAAGTGCCCTTTGCCGCCGCGTCAATTGGGCAGGTGCACCACGGCACGCTGAGGGACGGCACGGAAGTGGCTGTGAAGATCCAGGTGAGGGGGCCGGCGAGGTGGGAGCGGGCAGGGCCCGGTGCTCCCAGTGGGAAGGACTGAAGCCTTCTCCGCCCTCGTCCTCCCCTGCAGTACCCGGGCGTTGCCCAGAGCATCGAGAGTGACGTGCAGAACCTGCTGGCCTTGCTCAAGATGAGCGTGGCCCTGCCGGAGGGTGAGGCGCCCCTCCCACGGGGCGGGGTGTCTGCGTGCAGATGCGTGTGCATGCATGTATGAGGGGGTGTGGGTGTAGGTGTGAGGAAATGCATGCATGGTATGCATACATGTGGGTGCACAGGAGCAGTGTGTGCGTGGGGTGTTTCCACACGTGCATATGAGGAAATCTGTATGCACGTGATAAGTCTTGTTTGTGCGTGGGCTGTGTGTGTGGAAATGTATGTGTACATGTTGTAAGAGAGAGACGTCCAGGCAGAGAGTCCATAGCAGGGAAAGAGACAACGTAGAACTTCAGAGACGAGCCTCGGCCGGAACTCAAGCAGACACAGAGGGTGAGCAGTGGACTTGCAGGCGTGAGAAAAAGCCACGGAGGCAGAAGGGGCCTGAAGCAGGCTAGCATGTTTGTGAGAATGCGGGAGACAGTGCCCGAGGACGATGGAGCAGGAGTCTGTGTGCGTGTGTGCGCATGTGTGTAGTAAGCAAGGGACTTGCCAAGTGCAGACACCCACGTGGGACTGGGGAGCCGGCCACCCAGCTGACAGGGCTGCTTCTCTCAGGCCTCTTTGCTGAGCAGAGCCTGCAGGCCATGCAGCAGGAGCTGGCCTGGGAGTGTGACTACCGTCGGGAGGCAGCTTGTGCCCAGAACTTCCGGTGAGCTGAGCCTCCTGAGGGGGGGCCGGGGGACCCCTTCCTTTTTGTTTCCCACGTCCTTTCCTCCCGGGCCAAGTGAGAAGTGGAGGCCCCACAGTCCGACAGCTGGAGCCCTGGGGTGGACGGCGGCTCCTGTTCCTGCTCCGCGTTTGTTCCATCATCTCTCCTTCCCGCCTTTCTTCCTCCCCATCTTGTCATCTGTTCCTCTGTCCACCCAATGGTCCATCCATCCATCCTATCTACCCATTCACCCATCTGTTCATCCATCCATCATCTACCCACCCACCCATCTGTCCATCCACCCTCCCACTTATTTCTCCATCCATTCATCCACCTACTCACCCACTGGTCCATTCATCCGTCCACCTATTCATCTACCCACCCACCCACCATCTGCCTGTCCATCCACCCATCCACTTATCTCTCCATCCATTCATCCACCCACCCACCCACTGGTCCACTCATCC